GGTTTACGGGTTATTATATTTGGCCGGATGGACAGACTGATGGGGCGAAATTAATAGACGCATTTTTTGACGTAAATACGTCTATATTTTAGGGTCAGTTTCATTCGGCAAAAATGTGTTACGAAAAATTGTTACGAAAAAGTGTAACTTCATTGTTATGTTACTTAGGAAACGTCATCTGTTTAGTCGGCATTGTTGTTACCTGTAAAACATTTCATTACATTTTCTTACACGGTGGTCTGGGGTCCTGGGTTCGATTCCCGGCGATGCCCGAATTTATAACTTGTGTTGGGCAAGGCCGTGGTCTAGGTAACACGGAGTTTTCCTCCGTGGCATCCCAACAATTACTCCACATTTATCATCATTTACATACAGAAGAAGGCAATGGCAAACCACTTCTGAATCATCTGCCAAGTAAACGGACCTGTCGTCAGACAGAACACTAATAATAAAAACAGTACATTACCTTACATTACATTACATTCATCTACCACAGACCCATCTTAAGCGTAACTAATTCAAGTTGATTAAGCAATGTCTTAATCAAACTTATCTCAATTGTAAAGCATGTATAAAGGAAATATTTAGAATAAAGCCAATATATAAACTTCCTTTCCGTATAGACGTATTTACGTCAAATTCTCCGGAACCGTGGTTCCACTGACAACTTTTTTATCTTTTAGTTAAGAATTTACCCAAAAAGCAGATGTATAGAGAAAGGTTACAATAATGCATTTAAATGAACAAAGTTTTTGTGTTCTGTAATTAACATATATTTTCATCTTAAATCGGATTTTAGTTTTGCTGTTATCAATCATCACATATATTTATAGGTTAAAGTCGTCCTAGCATTAGGGTTAAATTTCATAAATAAATGCATTTGTTTAGTTTCTGCCTCGCCAGTAATATTTATACATTGAGTCGAGGTAATATATTTAGGAACATTCACATAAATACATCCTTTAAATTCGACAACAAGTTTATAATCGAAGAAACTAAAAATGTATGGACATTACGCATTGCGCATAGCAGGACCACGCATGCGCAAAACCGTAGTTGCCATGGTAACTCCGGAACGCTCCTGACTCATCTATTTCATTTCAGTATTTTAAGCTGAGTCTTTTTTATTTTTGAGTTCAGTGAACGTAATTAAATGTTGACTTTCAGGGCCACGACACGACGGAAGCTGCAATTTCATGGACTCTGTACCTCCTTGGTGCGTACCCTGACGTACAGGTACATATCGCTTTGCAAATAACTTACCAGTAACTAATATAGCCCAGTCTTTCGACTGCCAGTTCTCCCAGACACTTTCTCCTTTTCACTTTGACAAATTTAATTAACCCGGCAACATTTAAATTTAATCATCATCCAAGCCTCCATATTTTTTTACAATTATTCACCCAGGACTCGCATAATATTTTAAAAAAATTAATATTTTAATATACAGAATTCAATTTATTGATCTTGGTTGTTTTTGCGAGACCCTAAAATTTCCCAATAATGACGCTAGATGGGGAAATGTTATGTTTTAAATGCTTCTACAACCAGGAAGATTTTAGAATCGTTTCTAAAACATCGCAGTTTATAGTTTATTTTAATTCTAGTTTGGAATGGATGGGACCCTATACAATATCTTGTAATGTGCAAATGCGTAAGTAGGATAGTATTGGACAGGCGTGTTTCTATTCAGGAGATATTTTATAATTTATTTATTTTTGATTAATTATTACAAGGAAGTTGATTGAAGCTCCACTATAGTTTTTAACGGATTTTTCATGACAGGAAAAGGTTGTGGCAGAGTTAAATGACATTTTTTGGGACTCTGATCGTCCAGCGACATATGAAGACCTCCAAAGAATGAAGTATTTGGAACAAGTGATCAAGGAAACTCTCAGACTCTACCCCAGTGTTCCGGGTTTTAACAGAAAACTTGACGTCGATGTTAAACTTAGTAAGTTTCCTCGTCTATTTCTTACTAAATATTTAGCAAACAATAAGTTATATAAGGTAGTATATTTGCGTCATATTGTGAATTAGGTTAATATTTTCCGTTAAATCACAATTTTAATAAGATAATAAAATATAAAATATTTAAAATATCATTTCACGTTCCGCATCGAATGGTCGATTTACAAATTGGAACGTATCTTACGACATGTTTCGGTTATATTTAACCGTCCTCAGGTATAAATTAGATTGGTAAAATTTAAAACTCGAATTACAATCATTTACAATGTTATGCAATTTATTGAATAAATAAATAAAAAAAACAATACTTTCGTTCTAATATATAAGAGTAATCTGATAAGAACATTTCAATAAATTGCATAACATTGTAAATGATTGTAATTCGAGTTTTAAATGTTACCAATCTAATTTATACCTGAGGACGGTTAAATATAACCGAAACATGTCGTAAGAGACGTTCCAATTTGTAAATCGATCATTCGATGCGGAACGTGAAATGATATTTTAAATATTTTATATTTTATTATCTTATTAAAATTGTGATTTGACGGAAAATATTAAAATAAAATAATAAGTTATATGTTCAAATTATAAATACGTTTAATAATAAGTTGTGGTTTCATGAAAATGATTTACAGGGGCCGCCAGGTAGTGTGTAATTAAGAATTAATACAAATAATTAATTTATTACGAACTTTTAAATGCACATTTGGTATTAACATTGGCAAATGACGTGTTTATACATGGCGTCTGTCTGCTGACTAGGTATAATTGCTTGTGAATCGAGAATAAATTAGGCAGATGCAGAATGGTTTCAAGAGCTTATACAACTTTTCTTGTGCTGTCGTAGAAATATATGTAGTGTTACTGGCGAGAGAGTGGTTTTGTCACACAGTTGGTTAAGTTACATCAAGACGTCGCGGTGAACACTACATCGCACTGCCATCTAGCGGTGACTTTCAAAAGTTAGTACCAGTTGTGGTTCAGACAACAGACAAGCAGTGTGCGTTTAACATGAATTTTCTTCGTTTTAGTGATTTTTGTTATAAATCAGACATTGAAGAGTCTCCGGTAAGTCCCAAATACTAATGGAAATACATGTAGTGTGTTATTTTAGGTTAATATTCCCTCAATTTGTTAATGTCTTTGTTGTTATACACGTGGAGAAGGTGGATTAGGTTATGATGACACTAGTAGCAGTCGTAAGGAGAATGCGTCTCTTTCCTGTTCATTGCACGTCTGGGTTACCAAATGTTTTCTTCATAGATTTCTCGTATCCCGTAGAACAATGTTCAAGGCGTCATGGAGAGTCATGATTGAACTTGACTGGTGGCCAAAACAATGAGAAGATTACCAATTTTCAGTGATTACGTGTGAGACCACGTGTTGAATTTGCAAGCCTGTTTTATGGGTTAAGCTTCATGAAACATCGCCTACGAGTTTGAAGAACGAAAAACAAAAACAACTGAATAATTATAACCTCCAAACCAATGTGGCAGGAACATATTACTTAGTGTTAAGAAGTCTGAAACTACTAGTCAGGAATTCGGCTTTTAAAGAAATAGAATTCACTAGGTTGTATGAACACTTAGAGGATGTTTCTGATTACAACTTTGGACTTAATCGTGTCTTTAATGTCGATGAAAGTGGATTTTGAAATGTGCTGATATCCCTTCAGTCACTAGTTTTAAATGCAAAAATCCAATCGGCATTGCTACAAGTTATGAGAGACGTAGAAATATTACCCGTTCTGCATTGAAAGCTAGTGGGCTTTAATACCACCGATGTTAATTTCTCCCGGCTGAGGAGGCTTAGTCGTGGAGGTCCCTCTCCACGTTTGTATGTGCGCTTAAAGTCAGGATGGATGAACACAGATTTTTTTACCGTATGGATCAAACATTTCTTCTCAAATTGTCTGAAATCAGCTTACGACCGAGAACGGAAACTGTTCATGAGGTAAAATCCATACGAATATATTCTTATGGAAGACATTGCTTACCAAAAGATTTCTGTAACTGTAAAGGCTGTGCCAGGGTTTACTGAACAGACGTATTGGGTGATGAAACTTTATATATGTTAAAGTCCTGCCCACTGTGACTGACTACAGAATAGTTTGTCCAAGCCAAGGACAAACTGAACCAATTCACGAAGTGGGTGGAGCTCCGTCCACTTCTGGCTTGCAGACTGTGAGAACATCAAGGCCAAATCGGCACTCTGAAATCTTAACGCTGCTGAAAGGAGGGTGTTACCACAAGAAAGAGAAAATGTAACGAGAAATTCAAGGCTAATTTTAAGAAGAAAAATGAGAAATGAAAGGCGAACAGAAAAAAAATACATTTTTCACGATGTTTCCAGTTCTTCCAAAGAAAAATATGTTATGCAGTCTCAACAGTGCCAAGACGCAGAGAGTTCTGAGTAAAATATCAACATCATTCCTCCCAGAAATAATTCAAATGACATTAGCCTTTTCTGTGGAGAATTTGGCCGCAGAATAGAGTTTAAGTACCGCTGTGTGTAGTAACTCAAGGACTCGTGTAATATAGAAGGGACATTTGGCGGCTGTGCCGCTAGGATTAAGAAAAGCGGCAATCGATCACGCATGGGTGAAAGGCAGTGCGGTACCGCCGGCACAGCCGCGAAATATCCTTACACTAGAAGTGACATTGCATTTACCAAGTAACATAAATATATGTCAAATATTATTATTTTAGCTTCTTAACAACACACGGGCTTCAAAATTGATCTGACTCTTATCGTAATGTCTCCATAGAAACTCATATAAATGGAAGTCCACAGCCGCATCGAAATGAATGATCATTGTTTTCATAGATGTTTAGTGTTAACTCTCACTTCATATAGACATAACCTATTATGTGCATCACGGAAGTAATGCTAGTGACACGGAAAATTTAGACTAAATAAATAAAAGAAATAAGGAGGTAAATACAATTTAAAAAGGTATACTTTGCAGATTAACCAATTCTAAAATTGTTTTATTTCCAAATTTGTATTCCGCTGATATTTTTATTAATTTATTCCAGACATATGTAAATGTCTTATTTTATTTTGTCTTATCAATCGTGTGGCTGAATTGGACTAACGTAACCAGTTGAAAGCAATACCACGTACTTCAAAGATAATTCTATTAATTTCTGTCCTAAAACACTAATGCGATAGTCCTATTTGAATGTACATTTCTACTTTGAACCCTTTGTAAGAAACACAGAACATCTATATTTGCTGTAACTACGTACATTATAAATACATTACTTCAATGCCTTACAGTTTCACGCCACCCACGTGTGCGTAAATCATTCTGATTGCTTAACTAACACGCTACATACGAACATCTTCCCTTAAGCACTGACAACGCCATCGAAGAAATTGCTCAACAATCTAACAGAACTTAGAATAACTTAAAATTATACAGTCAAATAGTGCATAATTTAAAAGTGTAAGTAGTAATATGCACATAAATTTCTTGGTGTACACTAATCGCAGCTTATAACTGCGCGAAGGATATTAATTACTCGGTGGTATTTTGTTCATAAACCGGTTTCATGTAACAGTGATCGGGTAGGTCGCGCGAGTAGTGATGGCACCGAGTGTAAGACGAGAGAGGGGAGTTCAGTAATAGTGGGGGAGGGGGATAGCAGAGCCTCAGCTGCGGTGACGCACCGAACTAAACACAGCTAGAGCTACGAACCAACTGAAGCTGACACCCCTCTAGCGCGTGCCTCGGACGAGTCCATCTCACACGACCAAAATCAGTCCTTTGCGCAAGTGCAAACATTTCTCGCGTGACCTCTACTGTCGGCAAGCTGTAATTAAGTGCTATATCCATTCTGTTATTGTGATTGGCTGTTCAATGTCCCAGCTAAGGTCAAGATTCATAAGAAAATGAATGAAGTATCATTATCTGAACACTGAAGCAATGAGCAAATGATTTGTTCGGCATAAACTGAAAGTAAACTTAAAAAAAATTCATTAGTATATCAGGATTAGATTTTGATTTTCATAATTTGTACTCAAATTACAGAAAACTACACGATTCCAGCAGGGGCTTTTGTTCCCATTTCTCCACTTATATTACACCGAAATGCTGCAGTATTTCCCAACCCAGAAGAATTTAACCCTGATCATTTTCTACCAGAGAAGGTACAGGGTCGACATCCATTTGCGTACATTCCATTCAGCGCCGGTCCCAGAAATTGCATTGGTAAGTAATGAGTAGTTTGAATTGTAGAATACGTTATTAAATCGGAAGTTTATAAAGTGGTCACTTTTAGGGACATTTGAGAGTCCTAATTTGTACAGTGAGAATCTTTTTGGCTGTGTGCCGCTGTGAATAAGAATAGCGGTAACCGACGCAGTGATCAACAGTAGCGAAAAGATTGTGACGTCATGCTAGTCAGCCACTAACAAGAGCTCTTTAAGAATCCCTCCACAAACGTCGATTCACTTCTTGGCCGTTGCAGCGCTGCTGTATAACCAGGGTGTAAAATAATGACGTAGAAACAAAATGTGAAATGTGCAATTTTATTTCACTAAATAATCTATGGCGATTTCTGAACACCGGCTCCAAGAAACCAGAGTTTAAACTATCTTAGAAGGAGTCAGTCACACGTTTATATGAAAATGTTGTGACTAAAGGCTGTTCTGACAAGGTAAGTGTCGGCCGATACAAGAATGGTACAGAGCACATGGGAGGTGATTCAACTTCGTCGAGAACGCACGTAAACTTTGGGTTTTCGGCATATTTATTAAGTTATTATATTATTATAACTATTTTGGTTACTTAAATATATAAAATCTTAATAGTGTTTAACATTCTGAAACTTTATATATAACGTAACAGTGCTGAAAATAAAAATAAAAATAAAAATATTCAAATTTTGGGGCCTCTTATGTATAAATTTGATTCTAAAATGTAATGCAGTTTTAACTGATAGCTTAAAAATCGAATGGTACCCAGCTTGTACAAGTTTCATGAGGTCATTAATGAGAGTTAAAGATTTTCTGTCCGAATTAGTTTTTTAATAATGCTTTATGGTACCCTTTGATGTGTCTCGCTTATGTTCAATTATCACGAAGAACTAATAATTCTTTAGCAGTTTAATAATTATTTTTTTCTTCGGAGACCAAACTGCACGTTTTCAATTCGAAATAACATTATTTGTCCCCCGATAAAATAATGTAATAGCTCACCTCTGCACTGGGAACTGAACAGGCCGTTTAAATATTCGGTCTTTCAGTTACGCCCCTCCACAATTGAGAGAGACAAATAGGACAAGCCTTAAGTTATACTGGACGCAAAATATCTACGAGCTTGAGCTAAGTCGTAATAAGAGGGGAAGCAAGACAACTTCCCCTCCTACCGTACCAGGGCTGGCTGGCCAGCAACGTGTGTATTCTTAACCTTCAAAGGAGCTCTGATATGAAGATGGCTGTCTTCTGAGTTGTTGCGTCTTGTAGAATTTTACAGACGTTTCATAGGTCCTTGCTTACGGAAATCCGTATACACGATACGTCAGCCACTAGCTAAATTTCATGGTCATAGAAGGATTCTGTCCGTCTTACGACGTATACAGCACAATGCTTTATTACGCTGTTAGCTCTCAACTGTTTTAACTCACCTCGGCACGGCACGGCACGGCACGGCTGTTTGTGTTGCAACGTTATGTTATTGCTGTGACCTTGAAACATGAAATTTCGTGGCTGCCAGCTGACTAGTTTATCTTCTCAAGGATAACTGTGCTTAATAGAAGTATTTAAATCAAGAATGAAGGATCGTGTAATATGCAGTCTTGATTCGTAATGAACTGCTGTTTCTATTTTAATAGAGAATGTTCTTCTTTCAACAGGACAACGATTTGCTATCCTGGAACAGAAGACTGTAGTCTCACGCGTTTTAAGGAAATACAAACTTGAGTCGATAGATAAGAGAGAAAATATCGACCTAATGTTTGAATTTATTCTAAGAGCGAAACAGGGGCTCAGAATTAAAATATCTCCACGATAGGATCCAATATTTATTTCCAGTTCATTTTTATGTTATAGCCTAATGGAATCAATATTTTGAAGGAAATGAGAATGAAATTTCCGGAGGAAAGCAAATGGACAGGCAAACAGTCTTGAAATAAAAGTATAAACAATTATTTTCAACATTTGGCATTATTTTAAATATATATAGGGATTTTTACAGGAGTGGAGTTAATGTTTTGTTTAATTTTAAATTACATTGTGTATTTAGTGAAAAGGCTTATATATGATACATTTATGCCTTTAAAATAAAGTTAAAGAAAAGTAATTTTGATTTTATACAGGTTTCCTACCACAATTATCCCACAAACTTCAAAACTACAGTGTGACAAGTTAGGAAATGTATGCATGGCGTAACAATTATGACGCCTTCGTCAGAATTTATTTCATCTTTGAAAATGTATCGAGTGACGTCATATTGGTCCACGTTCAATGAATTTCACGTGAGCGGAGTTTCTGTCTAATGTCTGGCTGGGAAATGACTTGAATATGCGTATAGACGGACAGAGAGACAAACAAATATGGCGAAGTTAATAGACATTTGTACAACTGTTAGTTGATACCTCGTGTAGAAGAAAATAATTTAGGTCAGGGTGGTACTGCCAACTTGTTAAAAAGGAGTTAACTACAGCAGTGTATATTTTTTTTCGTGTTTAAGAGTAGTGACGGGTGTGATATATCGATTATGGATGTGTGTATCGATATTTTGATACTGGTGTATTGCCTGTGTAGTCTGATGTGTTCTGTGCCGATAACAAAGGGTTCAGATAATAGACAAAAATTAGAAAAAAGGAGGTAGGATGTTCCCCTTTAAGCCCCCTGCAGAAAAACCTCTTACTGAGAATATTTATGATCTGGGTGATAATTCTGGCTAGATCCTCACTGTATGACTAAGAACGTAAGTCCCTTCGAAATTATTCAAAACTGTTTTCGTTTATGAGGAATATTTTGTGTAATATAAAATTCAATATAAAAATATATAAATAATACATGGTAATTATTGTGTTAAAATTACGACATGGTGACTTGACAAAGCGTAGAGTTTGTCTGACAAGTTCCAGGTAATTGAAATTAGCAAACACCTACATTGCGACAGCCATTTAATTTTCAAATATTCTTATGTTATTCAAATTACGATAATAATGATCTAACAAATCAACGTATGTTTAGGTTTGTTTTTCTAATCGCGATTTCAGGTTATTCAGCAACTTTGCACACACAAGTAGACATTGTCAACTAAGACAGTGAAAGTAAATAAGAATTTTCGAAGAAATTCATAGTTTATTAACCTCCTTTGTATGATTTGAGGTTCTCACAGCGGTGAGTATGACGATTTCCGTCTTCTGGGTTGTTGCGTTGTGTAGTCTGGTCGATGTTAACCAACGTTTCAGAGGTCATACTGCCTCC